CTAAACAGGACTGGCTGGTGCGCTCACTGGCTGAGTGCGGTGCAGACGACACCACCCCAAGGGTTGTGATCCCCTTACCGGTCACGAAAAAGACAAAACAAACAAAACAAACAAACAAAAAAACCCCCAAAATATAACCAACAAAAAACAGCCATGAAGGCACTTGCAAATAGGTGGGACAATAACACCCAGTTATTGGGGATGGAAAGTCGTGTCCCTATTTTGCTGAAAGGGAAGTTGAGGCTTTAAAAATATAAGTCACTTGCCGTGTGGGTCACACAACTGATAAATGAAGAAAGGGAAGTTGAGGCTTTAAAAACATAAGTCACTTGCCGTGCGGGTCACACAACTGATAAATGAAGTATTGGCACTTCCAGGTCGGGTTTTTCCCCACTAGGCCATAGCTTCCTTCCTCACATTCCGTTCACTGCCCCACCGCTCACCTCCACGTTTCTCTGCACCTCCTCCGCTCCCCGCCGTCCGCTGGAGGCTCACCCCCCTCCCCTGCGTTCCCAGGCCCTTCTCAAAGGGCCCCGCCAGCTGTGACCACCGCCTCTGCTGGCATCTCCGTTCTCTCCTTTCCTCTGGCTTTCAGCACAGTTTAGGAACATATTCAAATCTCTCTTGCGTAGAATTAAACATTTTATTCTTTCTGCTTCTCTCTCAATGTAATGTCCTCATAACTCCTTGCCCACCCTCTCTCGTGATCTGGTGCTTCTTTCATTTCTTACCAGCCTTCGGTTCCATAACCCCTCACAGTTTGAATTCCCAACACCCTCTTGAAACTGCTCTCTCAGGGACTGTGTTAAGCTTCCTCCTGAGTCTCCATCCTGTACCACTGTTAGCAGTCCCTGCTTTTAGGGAGCATTTGGTCGAAAGGGCAAACTGATAGGCAAGCAAACCCTGGTGGCTAACCCACTATCATGCAGTCTGTGTTCAGGCCTAGCAGCGAGGGAGAAAGAACGCCCTGGATGGCCTGGGGTGGGGCAGGAGGGAAGACTGCCCACCTGCTGACATCTCTGACTGCCCTGTCCCCCACCGAAATTACAACTTGCATTCTCTGGCCATTGGGCCTCTGTGAAACTTTTCCCCTCTACTTCGAATTTCTCTTCTACCTCCTCCTCTTCTCACAGACCAGAATTTACCTGTCAAAGTTCTATTCATTCTTTAAATGAGCCACCCTGGGTTAATGTATGCCTGTGATGTCACTTACCTTAGGGTATTATTACTGAGGTACCTGCTTACTCAAGTAGATTACAGATTCCAAGACGGATCTTCCTCTTACTAACAGTGAGAATTTGACAGGTTTTAACCTTTTAAAACAAAGTTTCTGTTGCCAAAAGTGTACAGTTATTGGGAAGATTAAATCAAATGTATAGCTGAAAATGTATAAAATGTCTAGTACAGCACTTGGCATGGTAGGTGCCCATAAACATGTGGACCGAATGGCTGAAACCCAGCATGAGTTTTCCTCTCTCAAAATTTTAACCAAAATAATATAAATGTTTAGTGATGATTGCATTGCTGAAATATGTATATAGTGGACTTTCAATTATTCACTTCTGTAGAAGAAGTCAGAGGACAAGATAGTTCAAGTAACTCTGAATTAATATATTCTTGTCTTTGGAAGAAATTTTAAAATTATTTGAACATGTCAGTTTTGTTTTCTTCGGATAAATGCTTAAGTTTGTTTTCATCCCCCAAAACAGCAATTGGGAGGCTAAAGCCTTGAAATATATTTCATGGCAGTTACAGATTGGCTCAATATTAAAAACAAAAAAATCAAAAAACAACCACACATGAAAAATGGTGAAGCATACTATCTTTAGAATGATCTTCAGAGAAATTAATTCCAATGGGTAAAAACCCAGACTTCAGACACTTTCCTGTCCGTCCGTCCATCCATCCATTTATCTTTTTTCTGTATTTTTTCCCTCTCACTTTCTTGGTGATCTCACTTTTTGAATGCTAATACCTCATGCGATAATCACTGACAGTACAGTCTCTGGGAAAATATTCCCTTACTCCTTTTCTCTTCCATCAGCCACAGATTGCTTTCCAAGGAAATAGTTATGCTCTGATTCCTGTCTAAAAACTGGCTAATCCTGATTTCTTTTTTATTTTCACCATCTGGAATTTTTAGGGATCACTCTTCTCACTCCCAACCCCACAGCACAGAATGGAAATTTTACAGGCTGCTACATCAGAAAAGGATCTTAGAGATTATGCGACCCAATTTTTTTATCTCACAGGCACCAAAAAGCTAGTGAAAGCTGGGCTGAGGTCTCTTTCCAGAGCACTGTGCAAAATTTCACCAATATTTGCTTTGTCCTCTCAGCTTACTCAGGCATTAGTCAATAGTACTCTACTGTACTCCTCACCTAGGCATCCTCTCAGCCTCTATCATACTCTTTCCCAGCTGCCCACTGCCTTGCTTCTACTTCTCTGCTAAAACTTTGACCATCATTCCTTAAATGGCTTCTCCTTTCACTGCTCCATTCAGAAAGCCAAACCCTGGGCTCAGACACTTGCCTTTTACATGATCATTCCTCAATCTACCCCTGTCCTATTCCAATGCAAATGTGTCCAAATGTATAATTGGTTCGTTCGACTATGCAAGAACTATCTTTTAATCTTTCTGAGACTTGGATACTCTCTTCATCCAGTTCACATGATTATACTATTGATTATTAGCTATTTGTAGTTGACGGTGCTTTCTATGAGTTATCTTTCTCCTCAGAGCAACCCTATGAGGTGGGAACTGTTTTTATCCTAATTTTATAGAGGAGGAAATAGGATCAGAGTCGTTAAATGTCTTGACCAAGATCACATGGCTAGTAAATGTTGAACTGAGATTAGAATCTTAGTCTGTCTATAGATATAAAATTCTCAACCATTAGGCTATGTTAACTTGTTTCATGTGATTGTTCAGTATTTGTTTGCAAGTACTGACTTTCTTTTACATATAATAGAGTCAAATTTTAATTCTCTGTGTAAAACCTAAAACTATAAAAATTCCAGAAGAAAAGACAAGAGAAAAATCTCTGTGACCTTGGGTTAGGCAGAGATTTATTAGATATTTTATAGATACTTCTTACATACCTTCTTAGATATCTGAGAAAGTATTTCTCAGCTACTTTGGAACTTCAAAAAGATACTTTTAAGTGAATGAAAAGACAAACTGTAGTCTAGAATAAAACATTTATAAAGTATATAACTAATAAAGGACTTGTTGGGAAAACAGAATAGTTTGGTCAGGGCCCTCACTTGAGTCCAGTTGGGTGTGGTTTTAGCACATCCATTGTAAGCAAATTTGTGTGTGTGTGTGTGTGTGTGTGTGTGTGTGTGTGTGTGGAGTTAGTGCTCATGCACACCAATGTATCTTTTTAGTTTTATTGCTATCTTGTGTTCAGAGAGAGAGAGAGAGAGGAGTTTTAGTGAAGCAGGTGGTGGGTGACTGCCTTGGGTGTCCGCCCAGCATGGCGGCCATGCTTTCCAACCTATGGCTCCAAGGACCTTTTGGCCAGTTACCTAGCTCATAAACCTGTATGTAAGGGGTCTGGTGACTGAGCCTGGCGTGTGAAGGATTTGCGACCCAGTCTGTGAATGGGCTTGAGGGGTCTGTGGGCTCCAGACCCAGCCTTAGCTCGACAATCAGCCCAGTCTGTGCAGCATTGCCAGCAGGTAAAAGAGCCTGACAACTGGCGTGGTCGCCTAGCCTTACAATTGGCATCATGAACAGGATTAAGAGCTAGACAATTGGCACTATGAGCAGGATTCCAGGCCTTAGCCTAGCCAGACAGGACTCATGCAAATATACGAATTTTCAAAACTCACTAATAAGAAGACTGATAGAGTTTGTGTATAGTGTCCCCCACAAAGCTCATGTCAAAATCTGATCCCCAATGTGGCTGCCTGCCACTTTCTGCCATGAGTAGAAGCACCCTGAGGCCTGCACCAGATGCAGCTGTCCCAGAATCATGAACCAAATAAACCTCTTTTGTTTACAAATTACCCAGTTTCAGGTATTCTGTTATAGCAACACAAAAATGGACTAATACAAAGACAAACAACACAATAAAAAAATAGGCAAAAAGGTTTGAACACACACTTCACCAAAGAAGATACACAGCTGAAAGAACATAGAAAGATGCTCAAAAATATTAGTCATTAGGGAAATGTTAAAACCACAATGAAATACCACTACACTCCTCTGAGGATGGCTAAAATTAAAAAGAATCACTACTTGAAGTGTTGGTGAAAATGTGCTGCAATTGGAACTCTCACATGCAACTTTATTTGTAATAGCCCAAAACCAGAAACAGCCCCAATTTTTATCAACAGATGAATGGAGAAACAAATCATGGCATAGCCATATGATGGAATATTACTCAGCAATGAAAAGGAATGAACTAATGATACAGGCAATAATGTGAATAAAATTCAAAATAACTATGCTGGGTGTAAGAAGCCAGATAAAAAGAGTGTATACTGTATGAGTCCGCTTATTCAAAATTCTAGAAAAGAGAAACTAATCTACAATGATAGAAGGTAGAAAGGAAGCTGCCTGACAATGGATTGGGGGAAGGAGTGAAGGGAGGGATTGCAAAAGTGTATGAGAGATAGAAATGTTAATTGTCTTGACCGTGGTGCTGATCTTACAGGTGTCTATCTTAAAACTTATAAAATTTAAATGTATGCAGTTCATAATATGTTAGCAACACTTCAATAAAGCTGTTAAAATTTAGCACACTAGTATTCATAAATAGAAATGTAGTTTTTTGGTTGTTCACTTATTTTGAATAGCTGATGTATTCTTGTTCGTGAAATCATATCCCATTGTTTATCAAGGGGAAAAAAAACAAGACAAAATCTGCCAATTAAAAGGAACGCTATATCCTCCAGTTCAGTCCCTTTGAGTTACAGCCCTTCTCCTCAAGGCCGTTTGGTATATGTGGAAGTCCGCACAATCTGTAGGTGGTGAAAACTGGATCTCACACCTGTACACCCCCTGAGTTGTCATTTACTTCCTTGGTAGCCCCTTGGTGAGGAGTTTTGTTGCTCAGATGTCTGTACATGAGATTGTCCTCACTGAACCTGCTGATGGTAAACTGGTCCCACCTGCTACTGATTATAGGTCCCATCGCCTCCTGTCTTCTGTCCTGGACTTGACACTCTTCTTTTCTATTCCTGGGCCTGGCTGGTCCTCTCATCCTCTCTGCATCTTCTCACCCTCCTGGGCGGTGACGCTGAAATTTCTGGAGCAAGCTGCGGGGAATCAGGCACATTATTTCTGACCGTCTATGCAGGCACCTCCCTGTCTTTTGCACATCCTGTTGGATGTGGTGCTGTCCTGAATGTGGTGCTATTCTAAGAGATGCAGGGCTTCCTGTATCTGCCTAAGAAAGTAGGACACTAAACCTGGGGCTTGTGATTCTTCCACATCACTCAGGATGTTTCTATCACCATACCCCATCTTTGTAGCAGGGCTGAAAATGATGAAGCCAGCGAGGTGCCTAGGTCACAAGATTTAAGGAGACCGTCCCTTTTAGGCTTGCAACACTGATAGGGAGTATCTGCATACATTTTGCAACCCAGGCATCTTCTATCCTCACCAAGCCCCAGCCCTGTTGGGGGTTTGGTTTATGCCTGCAGCAGGGAATCGGGGGAGAGAGAACAGGGGCTTTTACTGTAGATCTTTCCATTCTATATGCTTTTTCTCCCCCATGCTACATTCCACTTTTCCATGCTTCCGTTTTCAGAATATCTCTTTCCTCCTATCCTAGAAACCTTGCCGTTGATTCCTCACGCAGGGTGTTTTCCCTTATTGTCATATCCTAACTTTTCTTTCCCTGTGGCTTGTTGTAAAACTCAATCCCTACCTCTCCATGTTTTGCTATTAAATAAGGAGTCTGTAGGGAACTTAGAAATTCCTTCTACTCCTAACAAAAATTGACTCTCAAAACTAGGGACTGAGAAGGCCTACTTTGATGGGGGAAGGCTGAGCTTGAACTCATTCCATCCCTTCACATTCTTCCTACAACAGCCAAATCTCCTGAGGCAAAAGGATGGCTCTGGCAGGCTAGGAAGAAGGTCCCATACCGAGAAATACAAAGAGAAAATCACATCAATATATTTCAAAACTGTTATCACTGTTATATACAGTTATGATTTTACTTAAATTCATGTAGAGTTTTCATTTCTACATATTCTTGTTCCATGTCATTGTCTATGATTACTGAAAACTGCTTTTCTTAGTTTAATTCACTTTATAAACTGCTTAGAGGAGTCGCCCATAAAAAACCAATTTACTATGGTTATTTTTTAGATAAAGTTTAGTTTTTTACTGATGGGAACATTATTTAGGTTGCAAATATGAATTGTTTCTAAAGAAGATCACTTTTATATTGATCTCATTAGATAAAATTATTTGTGTTATATTCTGATTACTTTGAAAGGCAGTGTTGCTTTTTGGTGTTCTAAGGTAAGAGGTTTTTAGAAATGAATTAGGCTTTAAGAACTTAAGACGTTGCAGTTGTGTAATAGCCACAGAGTTAAGAAGCAAAACTGCAACATCTTTTGTAATCACTTTTTGAATAAGGAAAGTTGAAAAATAAAGAGATATAAAGTTAAAAGACATGATCTAAGCACTTAAATGTTAATTTATCTAAAAGTTATTGACTTTTACTGGATGTTTAAATAGATCAACATAGCTCATACTGTACATTTATATAGCTTAATAATGTTAGAAAATGCTGGTCTCAAAAGAAATAGGACCAGAAAGAGTCATTCTTGGAATAATGAGTTTCTGGGATTGAGAAAAAGGGCTTATACCTCAGATTCTTTTATTCCATATTGTCTTCTAAGACAATTCTATTCTCTGAATTGAGCGAGATTGAATAAAAAGATCATAAAGATTTTTATGATCTGTCTCTAATATTCTGTAATGCCATGATTCATTCCATATCTCAAATATACACTTACTATAAAAGCTGTTCTTATGAAAGTCATCAGCTGTGAGTGTTGTTAATGTTTGTACTTCTTTCTTCATGCTTTGGTTTTAGTTTTCCCTCTGCTGCTTGTGTATACTTATCACAGAATTATGGTTTGTTTATCGAAAATATTGTGCAAGACTTTGTTGTAGGTGCGCCCTTATTGGATGTTTGGAGGGAATGAATTTAAAGACAAAAAGACATGGTCTCCATCCTCAAGGAGTTCACAATTTCATAAAAAGCCAGACATTTTAATTTTAATTATGCTCAGGACATAACGAAACAGTTTCAGGAAGCAGGGAATTTTTAGTCTGCAGAGCTGGGTTCAAGTCTTGATTTCACTTCCATGTGATGTTGGACAAGTACTAAATCTTCTCTGAGCCTCAGCTCCTTTATTTTTAAAGTGAAAGTCATACTATTACAGACTCTATCCTACCTCCCATGTGAGAATCAAATGAAGTAAATATCAAGGTTCAAATGACAATGTGGCCAAGGTCCTGCAAACCCCCTGCTCCAGCAGTGTGAAGGTAGATCCCTGTATGTTGCCGGTCAAATTGTGTAGAAGCCTCAAGAAGACAGAACTGGGGGTCATGGCAAGGTTGGAGAGGAGTCGAGCCACGGTAGACAAAGGAATTATCCTAAATGAAGTTAAAGAGCATAGACCTCTAGCTGGAAAATGTCTAATACATTTTCTGTGTTGAGAAGGAGTCATAGAGGAGGATATTCTGAGGGGATTAGGGGCAAGAGGATGAGGTGGGGAACAGAGGTATATTCAGAAGTGGAGAGCTCTGTAATGGATCAAAAATTCAAGGCTAAATCCAGATAAGAGTATCTGGGTTGGTTTTCTAGATAAGACTTTGCTAGATGAATGCGGGAAGCAGAGACAGAGATGGCACAGGCAAGTGCTTGTGGTTGCCTATTGTGCAGACAGAAAAGTCTGATTTCCCTGTCTCTGGCTGAGGGTATTGGGGGTAGGTGAAGATTGGGTCTCTGTAGTAATAAAAACAAGATGGCTAAATTGCATCTCTACACATTAGATACCAGGTTGAAAAGAAGAGAAGAAAACTCCTTCTTACCACTAGAGTAAAATACTTACACTTAGCTCTCTCAATGCAAGCTAACCCTACACTGAAATTTAGTCTGTTAATTTTTAAGGTTTATTAGCTCAATATAATCACATTTAAATGTCCATGCTTCAAGTTTGTAATAGTTTCTTATCTGCTCATTAGGAATAATCTTTACTGCATAGATAACTTTTAGTGCCATTGTGGAGATGGTTATTTGTTTTATATTGCTGGTATAAAAGTCTTATTCCATATAGCTGGAGACTGCTTTAGTGGTATCTATCGTACCGCCTGAGGGATAGGGCAAATCCAGGGGTGTGCCAGCCTGAGCCCCTGAGAAGCAGCACACGTCCTCCCAGAATAGCATGAGGGGATGAGGGTGGCACTGAATAGAGGACAAATAGAATTCAGTCAAAGAAGAACAGAAGAGAACTGCAAAATAGGTGCCCAGATCAGAGCGCAGCCAGGTAAGGAAGCCCACCACCCTACAGAGATTTAGAAGAAAATGGGACTAGTCCTGATTAATCCTAACTGATGATCTTATTGGTTCAGACTTGCCTTTATACGGCTGGGTGATCTCTTCCCACATTTCCAAAAGGCTCCATAAAGAACCTTAATTAATTTCTTTTTCTTTTTGTAAATCCTTTCTCTATAAAAGTCAAAACCACTTAAAAAGAAAATAGAATTGTAAATTCCATTCACAATAGTAACAAAACTATAAGATACCTAGAAATAAAGAAGAAAGGTACAGGTTCTTTAAGAAGGAAGTTAAAAAATCTTATTATAGGATATAAAAAAAATGAATCAAATGAAAAAATATATTATGTTCTTAGATGAAAACCTTAATAGCCCCCAAATTTAAGTTTTTCCAAACTGATTTATAAATGGAAGATAATTCCAATTAGAATCATAGAGGTTTTTAATATCTAATAAAATAATATTAAAATTTACACAGAGAAATACATTCCTAAGACTAGCCAAGAAATAGCAAGAATGATTTGAATTACCAGATAATAAAATATATAAGAAAAAATTTAAAAATAAAAAGAATTATAAGACAGTGTATCATTGCCTCATGGCATTGATGGAACAAACCAATTGAACAATGGAAAATAATCAAGATCCCAGAATGGAATTTTAGTATATATAGGAACTTAATGTTTGATAAAGGTAAAATTTCAAGTCAATGAGAAAAGGATCATTTATTTAAGAAATGGCTGGCACACCTGGTTAATCCATCTGGAGGAAAATAAAGTTGGAACTCTATCACACACCATGTAAAAAAGTAAATTCCCAGTGAATTACAGAATTAAGTGTAAAGAAAAAGGCAATGAAACAACTTATAAAATTTAGATGATCATTTGGACAATGTAGGTGTTAAGCAGGGCTGTTCAACCAAGATAGGATTATATAAAAAAAAATTTTATGGCAAAAAATATCAAAACAAAGCCAACAGACAAATGACAGATTGGGAAAAAATGTGTACTGTATAAAATATAAAAGATTATTTATAGTACAAACTAATAACAAAAAGGTAAGAGGCTCATAGAAAAATGGACAAAGCATGTAAGTAGGCAATTCACAGAAGAGAAAATCCAAATGGACATTAAATACTGTATATGGAAAGATGTTCAACTCCTTAATGTTTAGGAAAATACAAATTAAAGTAACTGGCATATTTTACATCCCGTTAAGTTGGCAAAAAGTTTAAAAAGTTATAACACTTTCTGCTAATAGGGATAGGATGAGTTAGAGCCAAGCCAGTTAATTTGGTGAAATTTTCATAATGTATTGTTAAAATAGAAAAACAAGGGCCGGCCCGGTGGTGCACTGCTACAGTGCGCCGCTTGGGAGCGCGGCGGTGCTCCCGCCGAGGGTTCGGATCCCACATACAGACCGGTTCCCGCTCACTGGCTGAGCGAGGTGCGGGGGCGGCACCGAGGGTTGTGATCCCGTTGCCGGTCCCCGGTCCGGTACGGGCGTGACACTGAGGGTTGTGATCCGTTGCCGGACACGAAAAAGGACAAAAAGGAAAAAAAAAAAAAATAGAAAAACAAGATGTGGAGAAGTAAGCCAGCCCTCCATATT